CAGTCTTGGTCAAGTTCTGCCTTCTGGAAGGTTGTCACAACTGCCTCAGGTGAACATTCCAGCTGTGTGTCGGAGCACCAAGGAGGGCAACTTTGTGAAGCCATAAATCAGGCTGCAGGACTCTTCCGTGCCTGACTGCCCGCCTGCAGATGAGTGGCCACACAAGTGGCTGAATCTGGCCTGAGACATGCTGTCTTTATAACCTGGACCAGGCTGTGGGGAAGAAGCTAAGCCTCACCCACCCATAAGTCCTGGCAACCACCACCATCTACCAAGACAGCCTCACAGCTGTGTATCCCAAAACTGCCTTAGGGCCATTACAACAACAATGAGCAACAGTCCTGCATCCTGTATTTATACTGTAACAAGAATAATAAGGAATCACAGTCTCTCAGAGCTCCAACTCGAGTCAGGAGGACCAATATTGAAGGCCTGGCTCCACCACCACATAACATTCATCAAGTTAATTTACTTCTCTGCACATCAGTGGCCTCACCTGCGAAAGGAGGCCAATTAGGACATTACATACCCCATAGGGTTGTTGTGAAGAATGCATGATACAACGTATGTTAAAAACAGCACACTTGTGGGCATGAAATAAACTTCAACTATTGTCATTATTATCATTAATGCTTACACTTGCCCAGAATAAACCCTGACAAGCCTTATTCTCAAGCTGCCTTGAAAGGGGTGTCTAGATTTTCTCATCACACTTCTCATTTCACCTATGACAGGGTGTCCTGTCATTTTCTGTAGCTTTCCCCACACTTCCAGACCCAACTAGCCTTTAAGTTGCAGGAGAGCAAGGAGGCTCTGTGTTTATCACCCCGTGCCCAGGGGCCTGGAAACAGTGCTGGGTTCCCAGGTGTTCAGTGACCACTCTCCTGTAATCTCTGCTTCCATTAGCATCCATTAGCCAACAGCCCAAGCAAAGTCTACGTGTATATTACAGTCACTGCAAAGATAAAATGACCTGGAAACTATCCAAGTGCAGGTAGGTAATAGCCTCTAAGATTTTGGGGGTTCCTTACTCTGTGCCAAACCCTGTACTAGAGACTTTTTGTCTGTTATCACATGTAATCCTCATAATAACTCCAGGAAGGATTATCACACCCATTCAACAGATGAGGAAAAACTGAGGTTGACAAGGCTAAGTAACATGTGCACAGTCACACCAGCCCTCAGTGTCCAGATTTCCCAATTTGAACCCAGACCTGAGCCCAGGCTCTTTTCTCGGTTACACATTGTTCCTAATGTTCTCAATTAAAGTCTCCAAAATTTCTATCTCCAACATTAAACTTCTCCTGGCTGAAGTATCCAACCAGTTATTTGCCATCTCCATTTAATTTATAATAGGCATCTCAAATGTAACAAAGCCAAAAGAAAACTATGGGTTTTCCCTTGCCAAATGTCCTCCTCCCGTCAAGCCCCCACCTCACCTCAGTAAATGGCACCACCATGTATCCAGTTGCTCAGGCCATAAACAGAATCTCCCTCATTCTCACACCCCACTACTAACCCATGCACAGGTCCAGCTCTACTTCTAAAATATGCCCAGAAGCCAACAACATCCCACTGTAAGCACTACCACGGCCTAAATTAAGGTACCACACTCTCTCCTTCCTGGCTGACGGCAACAGCAGACTGCCAGGATTCCAGCACCATCAGAAAGGACTTTGGTTCACTGCTGAAGCCTGCAACACTGCTTTAGCCCAGGAGGAGGCAGTCAGAAATATTCACTGATTGGGGTGGTGGATGGTGTTTGGCTCAAGTGGTAGAGAGCATGCTTAACATACATAAGGTCTTGGGTTCAATCCTCAGTGCCTCCTCTAAAAATAAGTAAGTAAATTTAATTACTTCCCCACCAAAAAAAATAATAAAAATTTTTAATTGAAAAAAAGTTCACTGAATGGACAGCTCTGACTGTTCTCCCTGCCTCCACTCTAGTCCCTGATACAGTCAAGTCAGAGCACCCAAAGTGATCTGCTGCCTGTAAGTCAAACCACAGTTTTCACCAGCTTAAAATCCTCCAACAGCCTCTCAATGAAACAGGAATAAAAACCCTAACTCCCACGGTGACTGACAGTCCGTGGTCAAATTTCCCACTTCTCTTACCTCATCTATGACACTCTAGCCACCCTGGACTCACTTCTATTCCTCAAACACCCTGGAAAGCTCCTTACCCTACCCCTGACAGGGGCACCTCTCCTCCTAGATCAGTCTCAGTTCCACAGGCATCTTCCCAGACTTCCCCAACAACCCTATCCAAAGCGGCTGTGCCACCAGGACCTGTTACAGTACCAGTACTCACTGTTTCATTGTTTACATGCTATGAAATGCTGCCCTCCTCCACCCGCCCAACAACTAAACTGACCACTGAGGGCAGAGGAGATGCTTGTCTAGCTCACTGCCACATCTCCAGCTCTTGGCACACAGTAAGTAGGTGCTGTGATATTGCAATATAATCAGAAATATATACTTGGTCTTTGTCCCAGGTATAGGAGGCCCAGGAGTCTGGTGATTGGCAGCTGAAGACTGGGGAGTGGGGGGCCGGGGCAGTTTTGTGGGATTATACACTCAAACTGTGGGATACTAACTCCAAGCAGTGTGAGAATTAAATCAAATTGCTGTATATCCAATTAGTATCTGGAGAGTTGGGAAATTGGTTGGTGTGAGGGGAAAAAAAAACCCCAAAAACAAAAAAATCAAACCCCCATACATTTATGTCAGAAATGCTGTAAGTAAAAATTCACAGGTGCTGAAAAAATTTTTTTCTTAAGGGTTCCTAGACTCAGATAGCTTCTGACAGTGCTGTGTTTTTTAAATGTAAATTTCTTAACAGCCCCATCCACTTGAAAGCATATGGTCATCACCCCCTCCCTGGGTGAGACCCACCACAGTGAAGCCTCAAGCAGTCCAGAAGAAAGCAGAAGTTAACTTTCCTGTGATGAACAGCCAGGATTTGGTTCTTTCCAAAGTCCTGAGAAGGGGATTTTAAAAACAAGTCATTAAATCCTGCCAAGATATCGACCATACCAATAATTCTTTTACAAGACCCACTTGAGTGCTGGCAATATTTTCAGAGCTCTAAATTAGCTGCTAGGAGCCACAGAAAACCTCCAGGGGCTTTCAAGGGACTGGAGGACAGGTGCCCCGAACTATCCGTAATGTTACCACTATACAATGAAGCGTCACATCAAATTGGAACTCTCTCAAAAGAACAATAAAGGATTTGCAAAGCTTTCTTGAGATTCCTAACATTCTGAAAATAGTCTTTTCAGGTCCACCCTGGTCTCCAAAGCCTTGAGAAAGTGTTAAGCGCCCTCTCTATCGCCTTGCTTAACTCTGGGCAAGCCATTCTACCTCAAAGTTAAAAACCTCAATTTCCTCATCTCTGAAAAGGCCAGCTTGAATGTATGCCAAGTACAGTATTAGACCTCAAAAACCAAGTAACAACTTCACATGGCCACTCAAAAGAGGACAGATTATCTGCTAGTATAATCGGCGGGTTACAGAAACGCACAGCTTAACCCCTGCATCACTTACAGACCGGCCTCGATTGTAGCAAAGCTGAAATGTATTAGGAAGCAAGAACAGCCCGGTACCTGAACGCCCTCCGGAGTTAGACTCATTTGCGAAAACGCACCATTGAAACTCAGTACAGAAATGCTGATCATTAATATGGCTAGGAAAGAGGGAGCGCGACATCCGCAAGGTTTTACCTACTTTTTTTCTAACTGTGCAGGAAGGAGTGAAATCAGCATTAAAGGGTTAAAGCCTACTAATTCTGCCCTTATGCACTACTAACCAGTAGACGCCGCCTATCCAAAGCGGACGTGTGCTTTAAAACATCAAGAGTTTAACAGGCGAGAGTTACAAAACAGGTTCAGGCAAGTTTAGGTGAAAGGAGGGACAGGAAGGCTCACGCTCTACCCAGGCAGCCACGTATCTGTCCAGCCAGGGTTGGGTCGGGAAACTCAGGAAGCGGAGCTGAGATTTCCCCGCGCCCAGACCTGAGCACTGTGATTTGGAAAACAGGCTTCTAGACGTTTTCGAAGGAACAGAGCCAATGCTCTAGAGCCTTGCGAGATGTCAAGCGCAACCTGCCTGGGCCATACGACCCGAGTTTCGTTCAGGAAGAGGAGACATTGCCCAAACCCACGTCTTTTCCTGGGTTCATCGGGATGGCAAACCCGGGGGGCTACGGAGCTCAGCAACGCACACTCATGCTCCGGAGGAGCCGACACGCTCCAGAAAGCAGTCGAGATCCTCTGCTCAAGCCCTGCACGCCTCTCCCTAAGTGATGTTCTTAAGACCGAACGGGAAGACCTCAGGGTCGCCTCTAGGGCTTCCCCGTGTCCCTCCGCCTGCCCGCGGCACAGGGTTTCCCCGACGGCTGAGCGCTGCGCTGGGGCCTGAGGCACTCACCCGGGCGGCCCGTAGTCACTCGCCCCAGTTTCGGCGGCGGCGCTGTGG